AAACAAAGAAAAATAAAAGCTGGATCTTTTAGATGCTATGCTACAAAGATAGCTGTTGCAAGAGGAGCGCTAGTGTCACAAAGCCTTTATTTGGCCAAAAAACAACATTGATGGCATAAATAACGATATCAGGCCAGGAAGGAAAAATATCAAGCCGTTAATTAAATTAATTAACCGCAATTACACCAGTCCTCAATCGAAAAGAGAAATGAACTAATACCGCAAATATCTTTCTGTTTTTCCAGTTGAAACAATAGGATAACACAAATCTCCTTGCTGCTTACATGATGAGATTAAATAAGACTATAAATCAAAATTAATAAACTCATCTATAAATTTTAAGTTGTTCAGATTCCCTTTTTGACAATTTACCCAGCGAGTTTCAAAAAGTGGGATCACTGCGAAATGTCAAACTTAAAATGTAAATATAAATAATAAACTTCTGCCTTTTGTTTTGTTTTCAACATTTCTCGAATAAATCAGCCTCATAAAACTTTGTAGGAGAGGATGTTTCTTTCCTGTTTATCTTTATGCTGCGTGATATTGTTCGGATAATCATGGTTTTAATGTTAACCACAAGAATCAAAATACTGTTGATTTCTGGTCGTTTGAAAGGAAGCCGAGTGTTAAAAAGCAGCTAATTAAGTCCTGAAATAAAAAAGGGGAAATAATCCAATTTTTCTTGAATTCTTACCGACAGTTGAAATAATTCACAACTTTAAACGCCAGATATTTTTCAAAACGAATAATTAAACTGTAAACAGATGGTTCAAGAAACATTTTTTTTTGCCTTTACAATTGCATGTTCGAAAGAACGTTGTCTGTCAACATATTGAAACACTTCTGCCCCACGGACGTATACTTGGGGCCGGAAAAAATACGTCGCATTATGAAAACTATGTCTAACATCTGCTTTAAAATCATCGGCTATGTCACGTCCGTGTGGTCGGCTTGGTACATTTTTTACTTAGAAAGAAAAATAAAACAAAAAATTGGGAAGAATAAAAAAAGCTGATGACACAACAGCTTAAAAGCACTTGAGCACAATCTCATACGAATTTCTTGCACCAAGTTAGAACTTAGTACAGTACGTAAAGTTTGCAGAAGGACATATAAATGATGGTGGCACTGCATTTTTTTCATTTTTTTTTTATTTTCACAAAAAAACTGGAAAACCACTGTTAACCTGACTGTATACGACAGATGGCTTGCTCCGCGCAGTGTTTTCCACCTGCTTTCAGTACGATTGCCTTACTATGAAAAACACGCAATAGGCACGCACTGATACAAAATGGAGGTTTGTAAGACAAGTTTACTCATGGCTTAGCTCCTTTTAATAAGTCCAGCAGAAAGATACATTCAGTAACTTGTGTGTGCAGTGTTCATGACCGACGTGGAACGGAGTGGGCGCGAGTCGGCGAACAGGGCTATGTATTTTACGTCAAAGACTAGAAAATCGAAAGCAAGTTTAAGGATCGGTGTGGTTTTAAGTTACTTTGTTGTTCAAGTGGATTTGTGGCGCATAGTTTTTTCGCTCTTTAATGTTATGTAAAAAGTGGCTCGTCAAATTCTAATATTCTATCTTTGTATTAACAAGCCGGTCAAGCTTGTAACAATATGGGTGCAGTCATTTTTGCGGCAGGGAAACTCGTTCTCGACAGTACTCCACGTTGCGTGAGTCTAATGGCAAGCAAGCAGTGAAAGCCGGTTGAAAAACCTACTACAGCAAAACTGATGATATTAAAATCTCTTAAAATGACTGCAATAGTTTTAAACACAATAGCTTCCATTTGTACACGTACTGCAAATTGACCTTTAAGTCGGTCTGCTACTGCAATATCTTCAAAAGTGTAAGAGTACAACCTCCATATTGTAACATGAGTAATATTGTAGTGCTTGAACTTTTTTAATATTATTTTTCATAATTTAATTAAGTCCCCACACTGCAACAGTGATGATAATATGTAATTTGTTATAGCTGGTTTTCTTACCACAATGTTCAACGCGCTCTCTGATTGGCTTCTTCGAGGTCTCGGGACATATTACAATGAAACTGTTTCCCGCCAAAAGTTTCTGAGCGTGTACAGTATTGTAGAGTCTATGACGTCAAAAAGTCTGTGACGTCAGCGAGTAAAAGTGAACTGTGCCTTTCCCTCTTTTTTTCTTTTTCGTAATTTTTGACGCTTTATTACATTAAATTTAGCGCGCTCTTTCACCCTCAAGTTATTTTTTTGTCTGGTAAAGTTTTACCATGTAGTTCCCATCCTTTTTCATTGCGTTTACAAATATTTGTTAAAAGACAGCAATAAGGTCAGCGTTATTGTTGTTTTCAATCAACTCATGTCTTTGATAGCTTTTGATGAGCTATTTAACAAATTAACATACTTTCTTGTCCCCCCGCCGTGAGACCAATTATTAGTTCCCCTCTGAACCAATTATGTTACAGCCAGTAGGCGTGGTGCAATATTTTTTTTTGTATTACAGCCTGTATACTTCTGCTCAACTTTCATTTCATCCCGTGCAATACAGTTTACAATGTATGAATAATTTAATTTTGCAGCCGAACTCTGTAGTACAGATTACAAGTTTTCCGTGCTCTCTTTGATGTATTTTTGACATTGAATTCAATACGCACACTACACTACAATTATTGCAAGCTCTTCACTGCAATAACTTTGATATTGAAGCATGCTATACTGCTTTATTTATATATTTCCGACTGCAAATTGCAAAATTTGTAATACTTCCGTCACAAAATTACAAATTTCACAACTGCAGCCTGCAAACATGCTAACATATTTTTGACAAGCAAGGATCTTCGGCTATTGTATCCAGTTTTGTTTAAGAGCCGTTTGATTGACTCTTCAATATTTTCATATCAGACAATGGAAATATTGGAAGGCCAGTCATTTAGATAAATTAATAACAAGTGAAGTGCAAAAATGCCTCAGTGTATTTTTGAACTCTCCGAGTTTACTACGGTTTCTTCCCTTCACTTACCTCTTGACTTTCCTTGTGCTTAATTTAGTTTCTCCACTGCTCAGACTGCTGAAGAGTTCCTAATCTTTGTTACGTTTGTTTATCCACGTCTTTAAAATGAATAACACGACCTATAATATATTCTGCCCTATCTAATATGTTGTTCAGTTTTCAATAGGCCATTCCCGAGTTGCCTCTCGCCTCTGTGTTAAAACGAGTCTTCATGCATGCAAAAACCATTCATATGAAAATGTGTTCCCCCTACATGTTCATTTTCATGCAGATCAAACTCACTTTCATATGAAAAGTTTTGCACGAGGCCTCGTTTTGAAACAGAGGCACAAGATGACTCGCTAATGACCTATTCAAAGTCAGATTTTCGAAACGATAACAACAAACAAACAGTTCTAATTTTCACGCAAAAACATGTACATTCCAGTTGTACAGAGATGTACATATTTGTCACATAAATACCTTGAACAGACACACCCTGCAGGGAGTTAATTAAACAATGATTTTGCAAGGGAACCAATGAATTACGCTTACTAACTTACGAATAAGGCTTGGTGGAGAGAGGGGAGGGGTGGGTGGGTGCTTTTTATGTTTGACGATGCCAATCAGAATTGCGACATTGTACCCGCGGGAGGCAGACTCCAATATAAAAAGGTACGAGGAGCACCCACGTCCTATCATATTGGAGTCCCCCCTCGGCATTGAAATTTTCCATTGCCCAAATCTTCACTTTGCCTGGCTTCTTCATTTTTCTTTCATTTTTTTCTCCCTTTCTTTTTCTGTTCTTTCCCTTCTGATTCACTATTCGTTTCGTTCCCTTCATTCTTTCTTTCTTTAATTTTACTAAAATAACGTTTGCCCTGACCTTTCTAACAGCAGAAAACGGAAATTTCAGCTGGATAAATGATAGATTTATCATCAAATTTGAGTACAGGCATTCACAGTGACTAACTTACGGGAAATACCTGAACTTGTTCATATAGTAAATAAGTTGCCATGGGAAAATATGAGGGTTGACGCTTCTTGTGCTATGCATTGCATATTTACCCTTTAATTCCCTTCTGTCCAGCGTGAGAGGAGAGTGGTACTGAAAGCAGGAAACCAGACAACGCCTTTATCAGGACCTGGTGAAGCGGAGACAAGTTAAATTATCTGCCTTTTAAGTTATTTACAGTAGATGTGAACTGCTCTGTTATCGTCGAGCTGTTTCAGACTTGGGCCAGGGTAACCACTTCTCAAAATGTTACATTTTTATTTAATCTCTTTACTACACCATACTTGGGGTTAATTCTGAGAATAACTGACTGTAGAAAAAAATGGAATGAAAAATTATCATGATTAAAGGAATGTCAATCTTTATTTAAGAAATAGAAAACATGTGCCGCGCTGTTTCTATCGAGTTTTAGTATAAATCAACTAGCGTTCTACCACGAAAGCCGTTCTCTGATTGGCTACGCTACTCACTATCTATTATGCTGTAAATAGTGAATAGCGTTGCAGTGTACCCTTGTTAACAAAATGACGGCCGCTTCTTGGCGTTTTCGAAGTGTCCGTGAAGAGGGTTTAGATAAAGTTTTGAACTAGAGTTTTACACTAAAACAATTAGATTGTTCACTCTCGATTTCTATGCGTGATAGTTGACTCGGACTGCGCCCTCGTCAACTATCACGCGATAGAAATCTCGAGCTCATAATCTAATTGTTAAATAGAAACACGAGTGGAAGTTTGGGAGAACGAGAAATGCTGTGGGAACACGAGCCGACAGTTACTCCCAGACAGTTACGAGCTACTTCCAGACAGTTAATCATGGATTCCTAGAAATTGTCGAGAACATGTCTAAAAATTGAATCCTGTGATCCAGGAGAGTAGTCTATCGGCTTCTCTAAATCATGAAAATGACAGATTACATTGGCGTTTTTTTTTCTCAAGTAGAGCCTACAAGTCTCCCTTAAATCAGCTTTAGTCCCCTGTCTGACACCGTGGCCACTGACTCAAGTATGTGCACGTGGTAGGAAAAACACAACCCTTTATTTGTTTTCCAAGCCTCAAATAATATCAAATACCTATCCTCAATAAAACATATAGTCCAGTGATGGTCTAAGTTTGTTCTTTACATACGTTTTTGCTGTTAATTATGAAGTGAGCTATTTACAGTATGTGACGTCGATCGTGAAAAGGTAGAAAGTGTTTACACTGGACAAGCTAATGGCTTAAATTGTTCCTTCACTTATAGCTACGACTAGATATAACGCCAATCTCATACAGGAGTCAATGTCCCGAATAATATTGTCAATCCCGAAAGAGTCAGTTTAATTCACGATGAGAGAGTTCATATGATGAATTACCGTACTTGGAATCAGTCCTCTAAAGCTGTCTGCAACCACATGCAATACTAGCGCGAATTGTAGCGTAAACAAGAGCTTTTGTTCGATTAATATAAAAACCTGTTCGATAATTGATGAAAGTTACGGTTTTCGTCAAAAATATTTACCTCTATTTATATGTACTTCTTAACTGGTCAAAAGCGAAATGGAAAACCTGTCTGGTTTCTTTGACAAATTTTGGCAAAAGTGGAACCTGTTTTTCTAGCCGGTTAAAAATACATTAAAAGCGATGCTATTCTTTTTCAGTTTGTAACTATGTCATATATACAGTTAATACTTCGTAGACTTATCCTCAACTTTGTAAAAGATTTCTATAGTTACAGATGTATCGGTAAGTTCATCTGAACGTATCTTTAACACATCATAACGGATGAGTCGACTATTCTGTTCCTCGACAACTCGTTTGTTACCGGACCATTGTTTGCCATGTAAGAAAAATATTGTTCATGACTGGGGTGAAAGTGAGGCTGCGAAGACGTTGTGTTAAAGTTATTCGACGAAAATCCATTTATACCGTTATTGATAAACTTCTGGTAGTTGGCTTGTCTGTGGAAGTTTGCCATTTCTTGAATGTTGTGTTTATTTGGCGGCCAAGTGGTTCCATTCAAGCTGAAGTTGCTGAATTGTTGCGGAGGAACTTGGACAGTACTCTTAGCTGCAGGTTCTTGTGCCTGTTGTATGGCCGGTGCTGGCGATTTTCTCTTGGCTACTGCTGGCTTGGGCTTGCTTTGAGTGCCTTGTTGTTGCTTGTTCTGCTGTCGAAACTTCGCTCTTCTGTTTTTAAACCACACCTAGGCAATTAAAGGAGAAATCATGTTAATAAATCTTAGGTAAAGACTTGACTGCAAACGAGAACTGATAAACTATAAAGGCAAGCAAAACGTTTTAAATATGTTTCAAAAGTAAACTGAATAAAAGTCCAGTTCCAAAACACAAATTAATGTAAATCAGTCACAAAGAAAATAACTGCAAACTGAACAGGACAATTTCAATAAAATGTCAAAAATTTAACCTGGTGTCTAACAATCACAGTGCCTGGTTTATAATGAGTGGGGCCTCTGTGGATTTGAATTTAAAACTTCTCTTTCGCTTTTTCTCAAGCTTCAGCGTTTTATTTCGTTGCAAGTTCCTGAGCAAATTGATTACCGAGATAGAAGAACATTAGATAAGATGACAAATAGAAAGGAATATTTTTAGCAAAAGCGTTTTGATGGCAAGACATCGCGTGAGTATAGAGTGTGATTACTGTTACCCAACACTTGAAAGGGCACGAAATTCAAAAACAGACAATCAGAAAAAAATGAGACAGCTCACGCTAACAAATATTACGGTTTCAGCCTGTTTTCCTCCACTTTTTTAAGCCAAGTAGTAAATTATGGCCTTAATTTAATTATTCTCAACCAATTTGCTTAGTTCCGGGTGACTTTAAAAACTCAGGCCGAAGTTAAGCGCTGGAAGAGATTTCGTGCGCATTTTCAACACGTGTTCAAAGTTCGCCTTATCTGTCGCCGTCGCGGGCGTTCTGTTATAAGATAACAGTTCTTTGTAAACAAAGGAGTTAAATATAATAACACTGATAGCAGAGTAATTTGTGGGTAATTAAGTACCTATAATCCGCTATCACCTGAGTTACGCCCCCTTTTAAACGCAACAAAATCAAGACGATTTTGGACATATCTATCATCTTTATTAAACGATAATTGTTTCCGTGGGCCATGCAATGACAAGAATGCCCCAAGAATAGCTCGAAATATTTTGAAAGATAATTTCAATTGCTGGGCGGCGACGATCCCCGTTCGATTACAAAACACATCAGCGGCGAATTAAATTGTAAGTTCATCACTTCCTCTAAGTGAGCTTTGGGCAACGCCGATACTTTTTGGCAATCAGCATGTCAATAAAATATGGTTAATTCGCTCATTGATACTAGTATTTCTTCTGACATCTGCGTACAGGCAGATCGCTTTTTATAGAAGACATACCGAACATTTTAGGACTACACAAAAATGAACCAGATGAGGCACTCAGGTGATGAAACTGTGATAAATACAGCGCATATTTTCTGCATGGCATGTTGCCTGAGACCAGTGCCTCAGAAAATAAAGATTTGCACGGGTCAGATCAACTGAGAATTATGCTCCATTAGAGTTGGAAGACGTTAAAATACTATTGACCTCAAAGAAGTAATCGCTCTCACCTGCACTCTGCTTTCTGGTAGATTGATTTTCATGGCAACCTCCTCTCTCATGAAGATGTCAGGATATTTTGTCTTGGTGAAGAGCTCGTCCAAAATTTCAAGCTGAGCTTTGGTGTATGTTGTTCGCTCTCGGCGCTGTTTTCTTGGAGGACCTTGGCAAATTAAGAAAGAATGGTATAACTATTAATGAAGAAATGCTTGCCTGAATTGAAATACGACATTTGTTAACCAGAGCACAAGGAGGTGAATTACATCAAAAATAAAGACTGGTGTAACTATTAATGAAGTAATGTTAGCCTGAATTGAAATACGACATTTATTTATTGACGAAAGCACAGGGATGTGAATTTGTTCGCATGTACATCTTTGTATCTTGCCCGGCTTGTCTCAAATTTCTAGTCAGTTGAAATCCTCTAAGGTACCATAGAGGAAACAGTTCAATTTTTAGCGATTAGCAGGTTCCTGCTATTTGTAGCCTCTATATAAATTTGATGGCTCAGTTTAGACCAGTTAAAGTCAACTGAGTTTTGCACTGAAAACTAAAGTGAATTCCTTTGTTTGGCTTCTGAGTTCAGAAGGTGGATTTTTATGAAGATAAACCCCAGAAAGACAGCAGCTCGACCTTTTGAGCTTTTCATCTATCTCGACTAAACTCAAAATCCTCGGCAATGGTTATCAAGCATTTAGTTTCTTTGTGATTTTACCAGGGGCATAATTACAAATCGGGATATTCCCATTCTGACGATTCATTAGGGGAGATTATTTACCCTTTATCCGGTCCTGATAACCGAGTGAAAGGGCTGACTTTATGTTTGTGGCCTTCTGTGAATACTGCTCTCTTTTCAAGTAAACCACGATGACATTAGGCAAACATTTCAAGCAAACTAACTGATAAAACCGATGGGAAAATGTTTACCTTCCAAAAATCTTGACGTTAGACACTGAGGGCAGCCCAAGCATGGTAAATAGCCGGACCAAGCGAACTCCATCGCATGTGAGCCCATTTAAGTCGAGCTTATTCTCAAAATTTCTTTCCACAATTCGTCCTCTTATACCGAGAAAAACACAAATTGAGTGCCGGGTTTGGATATGCGGCTCTATATATCGCTTTTTCAGCATTAATCTTCATATCAATTAAGAAACTAGTAAACCATCTCTTATAAGGAAATTGTCAAATAAGACGGATTATCCGGGGGTTTTGTGTCAGACTCACCCAGCTGTAAGGATTATAATGCGTGAAGGGAAAAATCGTCATACCAAAGAACCCTAAATTTTCAGTAAAATGCAAGACCTTCCCGAAACCCCTAAGTACAATTGAACCCCGCTTTTTCGAACTCTAAGGGGAAACGAAAAATAGTTCGAAATAGCGGGAGCTCGAAATAACCGATGGTAAATGACTGAAGGGCAAATCTAAGGGAAATGATTTTGAGTTCGAAATAACGAGGATTTCGAAATAACCGAGTTCGAATTGGCGGGGTGCAACTGTAATTAAATGAGTACAGCAGCGGTTAAAGAAATGTAACGGTTAGCTGGGAGAGACATTCTTTTTATCAACAGAGATTTATAGAAGTATAACAGCTACACCTAAGTGAAAATCCAAAGGCCAAGGACATGCTTATAGGAAGCTAAGTTGAACTCCTGACTGAATTAAGCACTGGGTACTGTACTTCTTCCCAAATCGGAACAGATTTGCTTGGCATTGCTTCAGATTATCTCTTGGTTTAACTGGGCGCTGTCAGATTAGAGTCGTGAACAGGAAACGAATCAAAAAATTATATTCTAAAGCATTTTACGATGACATTAATGAGGAAAATAATCCGCATGGTTGACGCATAACGAAAACGAAACACAGAATGGAAAGATTTGCAGGTTTTTGATTTTGCAGCTTTTCAGTTTGAATTTACAGTGTATCATCAATTTTGCACTGATTCCCTAGCAGATGCAAAGAAACTGGAAATGTCTCAAAATACTTAAAATAAGTAAACGTTAATTGAGCCATACATTTGAGTATAAAATATTGGAATTATTCAGTGATTAATCCCAAAGTTAAGACCGGACGAAGCAATGTTGTTAGAGGTTTTGTCCCAGTGACTTAGCATTTTAAACAAAGACTAAACAATCCTTACACAGGAAAAAGGTAAGAACGACTAACTCTAAAACCACTTAGCCATATAGGAAAGATTATCGGGATTCAGGCAGAACTAATGATGTCTGAGCACGCAAACACTTGTGTTTTACTTCTTACCATACATCGAGGCTTCAGCAGGATCGTAGAAATCCATGCCAGGTGGAGGTCCATAGTTGTACCCATTCATTGCACAAGGTGGCAGGCGTCCGAAAATACCATTCATTTCTGCTTGCTTGTCTTGTCCGGCAGTGTCTAACAAGTTAGCATGGGATACAGACTGTTAGCGTGAAACATTTGACCCAGACATCAGATTCGCATGTGACCTGCACGCAGGTTCGATGCTTCAGAACTGTCACCGTGATCAAGTGACAGCTTTGAAAGCTGACATTCCATTTCCCGTTCAATTTGGACATTTAAATAACGGCGTTATCTTTCGCTAAGAAGAGATAAATACGCTTAATCGGTCTGCTGAAGAGAGATAATTTCATAGAGATCACGCAAAACTGAACACGGTAAAGTTTCTGCCTTGTCTCTTGCGCGACACCTGATATAGCATGTGACTACCGCTGCACGTGGTAACGCACCTTTGACATAACAAAAGGTTCTAAATTCCACGCGGACATGCATAAGAAAACTAACAGCGGAAAGAACTGGCTTCCCTCTGTAAATAAATCACAATTTATTTGTTTGCTTAAAAAATAAATAAACTTATTTTACGCTTTTTGGTGTTTTCAGTGAAAAACCGTGAAATCGCCAGCTGTTAGATTGCGTTTCTACAGCTGTCTCGAATGGTCATAAGCGCCTCCCTAACTCTAGCTCTACGCCGTGGAAACAAGAAAACACAATTTCCTCAATCTTTGATAACACAAACACGAAAAGTATTGCCTCCCATAGATCTAGAGTTATGGTAAAACGGTTTTCAACCAATCGTTTGAGACGCAGTGAATTCTTTATGTAATAATTACGAATAAAAAATTATTTTGACAAAGAATTGAGCTTCACGTTCTTTCTGGAGTCGCCTTTTGGTAAAACGCCAAGCAGTTGTTGTAATCTGCTTGAGAGTCACTTTCAGGGTTTCCGACAGTTGCTGGTCATCAGATAATTGAGAGAAAACAATAGATGCCCTCAGGGAAGTTGGGACATAACCCGAGGAAAGAGCCATTGATTGCACAACCAATTTTTGATGTGTCGTAGTTGCTTCACGTTGGTTAAATCTTGAAACAGACGTTCACTAAATTTAAATCGCGGTCAGTGAAGTGTTAATCTGTTTCACTTGCAACAGACCTTTTATTTAACAATCTTATCAATATGAATGTGTTGTTGAAAATTCACCGGCAAATTTAGATGTGGGCGAAGAGCATATTTTTACTCTGACTGGTTATTTATAGCGCATTAACACCCCTTCCGGATAATTCTGACCAAATCTAGATTTATCGCGCAATGCCGACACTGAGATGACAATGACCACGTAGATGTTTTTTAAAATGCTTAGGAAATCGTAAAAGTACACGTTTTACTTGACAATTCTTGTCACTTTTCCTCACCTTTGTCCTAATTAATGTTTTGTAAAGGAATGCCCGGAAGGCGGTGACACTTTGATATTTTCATGATAACTGGGGCACTCTTCATTGCAAAGTATTGTTTAATGAAATGATCTGGCTACGATAAACTGGGTCAACATCATATGTGTGAACTTTACATTCTGAATACATCATGATCAAAAGTATATAAAAGCGGAAAGAGTTGTGAACAAACTAGTTTCTGATCTGTCAACAAATTTCACGAAATTGCTAACGTCAATTTATCTATTGGAAAGTGCTTCAGTAAGGCGGGGTGAACACTCCCTTAAGCTGAGCGTCAAAACAAATAGTAACAGAAATAAAACAACGAAATTCTCGAGTCTTCAAGGTTGGAGAGGTGCCAGTGTAGACACATACACGAACTAACTTGACGTCTACTTGTACGTCATAAAATATCCTGTTCTACATTGCACATCACGTACAGCGGTATGCGGAATGACGATGCATTCCGCATTGCAAATATTCCTCCTTAATGTTTTTTTTTACATATTGAAAAAAAATCGTTACCAAAATAGTTTTGACATGGTCAGCAACTCAGAGATTATGAGAATTTGACTGAGGGTCATCTTAGTAGTAAATGTAGTTCACAAATGAATTTTCTTTACGTAATTGTCTGTTCATTTTCTTGAAGAAAAATGTCTTGACTGTAAGCTTTTCTGGTCTGCGAAACATTAACTCCCGTGAAAGTTTGGGAGCACTCGAAAAAGGCTGGGGCTCGTGTTCCCATGCTATTTCTTGTTTTCCCAAACGTCTACCTATGTTTCTGTCATGTTTATTATTTAGGATAATCTTAGTAGTAAAAGTAGATCACAAATGAATTGTCTCACGGTACCCATTATCATGGTCATTTTCCTGAAGGAAGTGTCTTGTTGGCTGTAAGCTGTGGTAAAAACACGTATCTATTCCTAATAAAACTGAAAAAAACACCCTAAAAGTTGGAGCTTGTTAAAATGGTTACTGTGATATAATTTTATACAAATTAAACGCAGAGCCAAATGACCTAGCAATGGCAAAGAAAATTGAAGAATTTACAATCATATTAGTGCCGGACTGATTTCCATCGTTTTTCTCGAGGTGTTTTTAAGAAGTAAAAGAAAACCATTCCTCCCTATTTCCATCGAGTCTTGGAAACATTAACGCTCATGAGGTTTGGGAGAACTCGAAAAAGTTTTGTAACACTCTCTTTCGGCTCGTGCTTTCGTTCTCGCAAACTTCTACTCGTGTCTCTATCATGTTTAATATTTGTTAAATAACATCACACACTCTTGGATATTATTTAAAGTGAAACACTTAAAGAACACTCCTAGTACACCAGAATAGGGCTGCCTCTCAACATGCTAATTGGCGTTTATGTAAGGATCAGTGTTCAAATTAAGCCTTAGCTTGACCTACCTAAAGCAATCCTTTGCCTTCTCAAACGGGCTCTTGAATCAGTCTCTGCCTGAAGCCTTAAAGACGAGACTTTGGTAGTTTTATATCTGCTCAGGTTATAGCTATGGCGTTTCTTTGTTTTCTTTGCCGATGGGTTTCAATAATGAGTATTCGTGCTTACAGGTAAACCGCGTGTTCAGCATTTAAGGTGTGAATCAAGGCTATATTTAGCACCCACTTCGAACTTACTGCACTACGTCAGAAAACTCAGGAAGTTTTAGCGCAACTCTACAACTGACGACATGACCATAAATTCCAGTCGAGGTTGCTGGAATTAATTCAAGTTGTTTTCACCATTAAAATGACCTTCATTCTTGCAAATTATTTTCCTTTGACAGTGCTTAGTCAAAAACGTTTTCCAGGCGTTTATCACATTTTTGAACCGAAATCACGCGGTATAGGAGTGCTTCTCATGACCCGTGCCGGCCGGTTGTAAACACAAAGCAAGTCGTATGTGACAGATTGCCAGGCAAAGTTTATTATCTTGATCTCAATGATTATAACCTCATTTATCGAAATCCTTATTACTTCCTTCTTCCAACTATAGGCGTTGGCTTATGAATTCTTCATTAAAATACTGCTCAATAGCTTTACTTGAATGGTCACACACCTGCGGTTTACTGTTAGAAGAAACGTCAGAACACTTAAATACCGACTCGCGGTTTGACTCAGAGTTTTAAACATAATCGAGGAAACACTCTTTGTCAACGGAAAGAAGCGACAAATGGATTAAAACGAAACCATCTGAGGACTGAGGGCCATTGCCAAGGTTAAGCGGCAGGGGTCTAGCTAAATGGTTTTAATTTCGCGAGCAAACCTGTCACAAGCAAATGGCTTGTCCCATGATTGTCAATGCAACCTTACAGTCACCCCAATTAAAATCTAGCTGTGAGTTTAGAACACTGCTATCGTTACTGTAAAGAAACACTCTCTGAGCAGCACTTCTTCCACGAACAGTTTTTATAAACTAGCCCATCGTTTTTAGTAGATGCTTGAGAACCACCAAACTAAAGAAAGATGTCCGGGGAGACCTCAATCATGAAAGATCAATTCTCTCGAGGTCCAAATGGATGACCTAAGAAATATCTTTACCTTAATTTAGTTTAATTTACCTTATCTTTACCTTAAGTTTTGTATAAATAAAGGTTGTATGTATACGTATGTATGTATGTATGTAATAAACATTGTATATTACTGTGTGGTCTTGATTAACACCCGCTGACAAAGAATAAGACGATATTTTAGCAATGAAAGGAAAGCTTCATCGGTTTGTAGAGGCTAATCCGCTCATACCTTACTTCATGCAACCACGAAAGCTTGTTTCTGGTCCACAACATTTCCTCTTTTAAGTATTCACTGGGTCAAAACATCAGAGAATCTCGGAGGTTTTCGTGATCTTTTTAACTCCATCGTGTACAATTAGTTTATAGCAATTTAAAGCGAATTCACGTAAAGTTCCTGGTAGAAGTAATATCATTATCATCAGCGTAGTTAAAATCTAGGTTTCAATCTTATTGCTAAGTATGGAAAACAGATCATTGTACAAGCTTAATATATTATAAAGCAATCGGTAAGCATCAATTTTACACTTGCTCGATTATACCTGTGTGCGAAAATCTGGATTGAAAAAGAAATTCTGCAGCAGAAATGCCCGGGGGGAGGGAGGACTCCTATATGGAGCGGACGGGGATGCTCGTCGGAAATTTTGAATTTAACCCCTAAAAGAGACCAATCTGGGCGTGGCCGAAGCTTATGCAGACCCCTAAAAGAGACCAGTTTATAAAACAGACAAATAAAAAGTACAGTGACTTTAAATGATGGCGAATTTGTTTATATGAATTGAGTAAATATAAAGAATCAAAATNGTTGAATCCTCACCACAGCTCCTTAATTTGGTTTGATGTAAACAAAGGCTGATTTCACTTCAAATTGTTCTAAGATGGACCCATTATATAATTATTTATTTATTTCGAAAGTACAGAGTAAACAAAGAAATAAACAATGTTAAACGCAGTTGTGCTGCTAGATCAAGATCTAGTTTGGTCGCTACTGTGTATAATATTAATACGTTTAAACAAAGCTTAGCTAAGGTAAGTTTAAATCGAATTAATCTCAACAGCGAAGGGTTCCTTCACATGTACAACTACATGTATTTTACAATACGACGACAATCTGAGGTCCATATAGGCAAACAAGCTGAGACGAAAAACATATCCATAAACGTTGCAGATTGGGGATGGAACAACTGACGTTGTTTCTTCAATGAGCAATTTTTACAAATGAGCTGCCAAGATTCTGGACAATACAGACCGAAAAATAAGACGCTTTATTCTAAATTTACTTTACCTTTGTCGTTTATCTTTCCTGTTTCGTCTCTATGCGGCGTTTTACAAGTCTTCAAAGCGAAGTTTACTTTCCCATAGAACAATAACATAGCCTGTAGATTTTAGAATAGTTGGCATATTTCCCTTCCGTGCAGTAAGATTGACTTGGAGACACTTCAAGTGGCATGAAAGGAGGAAGAAAGTCTTAACATAGTTATCGTGTTGATGGTGAAAATATTGGAGTTATATAATGTCTTTGCTGTCCTACAGATCTCATCTTGTGAAGAGTATTTGACAAGTTCTTGTGCTTTTTGCCAAGGCCAGAAACACGAAATACGAAAAGAGTGGATAGAAAATCCGAAACTGGAATTACACGTCCCACTTAACTGAAATATCTTTATTTCATCGACAAATAAGACAATCTAGCATGCGTATGTGATGGCCTGGAATTTTGCTATTTTTTGTCGTATTTCAGGGCATGTAGTTTGCCTAATTGTGATCGATCAAAGTCCTTTCTAATATAATAAGACACTCACGGAGTCACGTCTATGTATTTATGGACGTGCACAGTCAAGTTTTGGGAAAACAGTTTGACAGAGATCTGTGTATAGTAAACCCATAGAATCAATTTGATCAATTTATTGAGAAACAAATTAAGCAGCAAAATACTCACTAGAATCGAATTTTGTCCACAAAAATCAACCACCTTGTAAGGCCTCGCAATTCCACGTGAAAGAATATTACTCAGTGCTAAACACTTTTTAGTTGCAGTCACACACCAGCAAGCTAGGGTTTCTCCACAAAATTAAAAGTTAGAGCCATGTTATAGAGCATTGATGTTGACACGGCAGTACCACATCAAAATGCTTAGTAGCTTTTAGCACTTCAATGGTTACATTCAAGAATTTCATGCACAAAATAAAAAGCACACAGCTAAAGGCTTGAGTCTATTAAGAACAGGGTTAATGCTGTCTAAGTAGTGTGCTGTAGGGTCAAATTTGGCGATGCATGCAAGATTCACCTTATAGTACACGATGGTTTAAGTTAGCTATTTGGTAAAACATGTGGTTTTGCAAACCATGCTTACTTTAGAGGAGAACACTTAAAGATCCTAAAAGAATCTCCTTAAGAAAAAAGAAAGAAAGAAAAAAAAAAAAANGTTTCTCCACAAAATTAAAAGTTAGAGCCATGTTATAGAGCATTGATGTTGACACGGCAGTACCACATCAAAATGCTTAGTAGCTTTTAGCACTTCAATGGTTACATTCAAGAATTTCATACACAAAATAAAAAGCACACAACTAAAGGCTTGAGTCTATTAAGACCAGGGTTAATGCTGTCTAAGTAGTGTGCTGGGATCCGTGTGCTGTAGGGTCAAATTTGGCGATGCATGCAAGATTCACTTTATAGTACACGACGGTTTAAGTTAGCTATTTGGTAAAACATGTGGTTTTGCAAACCATGCTTGCTTTAGAGGAGAACACTTAAAGATCCTAAAAGAATCTCCTTAAGAAAAAAGAAAGAAAAAAAAAAACCAGCCAAAGCATTCCTGAATGGCTACAAGGAGTTAACTATATGTACCTCACCATATATCTTTATAACTGTGGTTTACGAGGGTAAAAATTCTGGTGTCCAAATTGATTTAGCCAGTAGTTGTATAGATTGGAGAGAAGAGAAAATGACTGGGGGACAGTCTCCTTATTTTCTCTTGGTCTAAGATCCTGAGATTGCAGTTCTTTCAGTCAGATGTAAAGAAACGCAATTAGTTAAACTTTGATATTCACTCGACAGGAACTTACAATGTTATCCAAGGAAACAGACACTTCTCATAGCTCTTTTATTTAAATGAACGATTGTTTTTCTCTGCTTTATGAGCCAACGTTTTGGACCAAAAATACGACATGTGGTTCCATCCATTGTGTAACGTTTTGACTCAAAACCTGAACTTCGGACCAAAACACTTGTACCTTAGAATTCGCACCGTATGAAACGTATTTTATGAATCAAGAAGATTATCCTTTTACGTCAATAGTCCCATATGGACTTCATATGCTTTGTTTGTTCAGTAGCAACTAGTACATGTACGTTTTCTGTCCTTTGTTGTGGTCAACACCAAAACGTGTAAGCGACCACGAAGATAAAATCCATTTGCTTTTATTCTTTCAATGATTATTTCTTTCGTGACCCTTTCAAATTGTCAGTTCGAATGAATATCTGTCACGAAAATAAGCAGAAATTGAATCATGTTTTCATTTCATCAAGAAGAATGGAAATATTAACAACACGTTTAATTCCGAAGCGCTCAACGAAATGTGAGGGAACCCTTAGCTGAGACGTCAAATGAAAATGAAATTTCTCGTGTAAGCTGAATTTTGCAAAGGATGGAAATCTTCGAGGAATTTCTTCAATTGATTTCAACTTGTCCAATAGCTTTTACAACGCGTCGATTTAAGCAAATAAAGGAGCTGATTTTCCCATTTTCCCCCGTTCTTACCAATACACATGTTCATTATCAGAAAACGCTACTGAAAACGGTAAATATAACATGAGTCATATGTTTGACAACATTAACGAGCCGGTTTACTTTGGAAAAAAACGCGAAAATAAACTTTCGAGGAAAATTGTGGCAGTTTATTTAAACGCCGTTTTGACGCATCCTTGGCAAACATTTTCCCCATATAAACATATTTCAATGTCCATAGAAAAAACAAATCGAAGCGTTTTAGTTGACATTGCGTGTTTCGTGGTTATGTTTCTTATCCGCGTGTCAATAAAACACGTCCCCCACAGATGTGAACTTGGCGGGAAATGTCACGCGCGGAACGCCACTGATTGTGTAACATCCGTTTCTTGATGAATGAAATAGACAGTGACCTGTTTTTCTACCGGAGACAGCAATAAATCATCTCTATTGTTAATTTTCAAGCCACAGGAGGAAAGTTGGACGTTAATTTGAATTAATTCCGACCAAAAATCACAAACCTTTTTTCGCACACACGAAATACTGTTTATCACGGATTAGCATTATCCCATTATCAACGTATAAAACGACATTCCCCATCAACGTTTAAGTAATTGCAATTATATTTTCGCTGAAAGGTGTTTCTGTGTCACCATTGTTGTCTCGGCATTGGCACTTTGACAGACAAAGAGCTGGGATTTGTAGGCGAGTGGGAAACTACTGCGTTAGTTGTTGGTTGCTTTTGTATGCACGTAAAAGCACACTTTTCCTTTCTCCAAGAACAGGAAATTGTCAAATTGGTTTGACGCTGTGGGTTTGTCAAATATTGATTACAGCAACGCCCCCTCATTTACACTTAATTTCGCACAAAACGGTTGTATGCATTGGACTTTGCCAATCACTTAAACATTCGAGATGAGCAATTTTTTTTTCATTTGCGACCTGCGTTGAAACACTAACTCTGCAACTGTTCACTGCACTTATTAATATACAAACTTTATCTCAATTTCTAGCTAGCGCTAACATATCATTTCTTCAAACAACTGATATGATAGCAAGCGATTTGTACTTTCCCGTCACTTCCCCGAGGATAACAAAACATTGTATCTGCACGCTTGGATTTAGATCACTAACCTTTTTCCTATGAGAGAATTGAGCCTAATCGTAAGTGTCTTGCAAATGAAGTGCACTACATGCTTTCAGTTAGAACGCGGGAGACAATATGAGCATGTTTTTCAGAGCAGAGTATTGAAAGATGAACAGTATGCTCGTTGTATTTGGCGTTATCAAATTGGATTTTGCTTTGACAGTTACCAGGACAATGTGTTAAAATTTTGGATTTCTCTTACAAAGTGTGGACTGGACATGTTTCCGCTAGCAGATGAAATCACAATTCGACCATGGTGTATAGTCGAAGAATTGAAGATTAGATACACTGTCCGCTTTGTGGTTAACACTGCAACTAGTACAGTTCATTAGCAGAACACAACACCCAGCTAGCAATCACTCGCCAAAAAATGTCCGGTCGCGTAGGCTCTGCTAGAGTATGTATCCGAATTGTTCATAGCGCGCAGTACATTGTTCATTTGCAAAGGCCTTTTAGAGCATTTAGGTTGTAAGACGCGCAAGAAATCGACACAGGCACGTGTGCCGCACGCGAAAGAAAAGCAAAGGATGTCAATTTTGTGCTGTACCCAGCGTTATTATATATTAAACACTTCTTATCGTTTGAGCTCCTTGTGCTTCCCATTGTAATATGTGGTAGAAATCCCGGGTAGAAATCAACTGCGGTGTAACAGGGGAGGAGGAGGAGTGGAGAAGGCGAGACGAGAATTTACGTTTATGCATATTTGCTTCACAACACGGTGTATGTTATGACTGCATGCATAGCTCGGTATTTCGCCACGGTTTAGTGACCTACACTGCAACAAAACACTGACGCCGACTTTCGTCGAAAGACCGGACGACATTGAAGTAAACGAACTTGTGTTCTCAAAGGCAAGAGGATATAGGACTCAAGATGTTATAAATTAAAGCACATTTACAATATATTAAGCCATTGTTCTATAGCCA